TTTCCCTACCCCATATCTTCCCCTGGTATAAGTCTTGCTCTACACAGATATATGACGTAATACGAGCTTCACACTCTCAACATCAGGTGTCAGGCATTGGCATGAAATTATTCTTTGGGGGTGGGGACTCTCACTTCTCATCCTTAACAGGTGGTATTTCACATGGGCACCACGAGACCTGACAGAGGTCATGGAAAATGACCGTCACCTAGGCTGCATCGCTCCCACCCGCCCCCGCATCCTTCATCCAATCAAGCTATTGATCTGTGGGCGCCATCTCCTCGGAAAAGGTTACAGTGGGTGTCTGAGGCGTGATCCTGAATGAAAATGCCTTCCCCACAGGAGCCCCTAAGGAGTGACAGGTACACAGTGTCCATGCTCTGCTCCCAGCTCTAGAGCTCAGGGCTTTTCAGCCACATCCCCTCTGAGATAAAAGGAAGCCAGAGTCAGAAAAGCCTCGTCTGACACCTCACTGAAAGATGAGGACACTGAGGCACAGAAAGGGCGGGTGACTGGCCTGGAATACTCAGCGAGTCCAGAGCAGGGCCCCAGTAGAATGGGTTTTTTTTTTTTTTTTTTTAATAATAGGATTTTTAAAATATTTATTTATTTATTTGGCTGCGCCGGGTCTTAGTTGCAGCATGGGGGATCTAGTTCCCGACCCAGGATCGAACCCGGGCCCCCCTGCACTGGGAGCGTGGAGTCCTAACCACTGGACCACCAGGGAAGTCCCAGAATGGGGGTTTCTTGCTTCCTGGTCCACTCCCTTGAACCTCTGCCTTCACCTTTCTGCCACTGAGCATTTCTTCTGCAGTGCAGACTCAGGGCTCCCAGCAGAGAAGGGCAAAACACAGGAAAACTGAGGCCAGGGAGACCAGGGACTGCTAACCAGGTGAGAAATTCACATAAGGCTGAGTTAGAAGGACTGTGACCCTAAAGTGAATGACCGGCTTTCCTTCGCTCCTATCCAGTTTTCTTTAATCCAATTCCATTAAATAGGTATTTATCGAGCACCTACTATTTGCCAGACGCTCATCTAGACTCTTTAGATACATCAATAAACAAAACAAAGACTGTGTAGATGCTGCTTAGCCTTGAGCAGAAGGCCATGCACACTCCAGCTAGTGTGATGAACGAACTAGAAGTGGTGAGGATGGAAGGAGGGAGAGCAGGGAGGAGGCGCCTGCGATAATCCAGGCCAGAGAAGATGGAGGCCTGGACCAGGCTGTAGCAGTGGAAGTGGTAAAAAAAAAAAAAAAAGAAAAAGAAAAAAAAGAAGAAAGAAAGAAAAGGTCAGATTCCAAAAATGAAGGTAGAGCTGGTGGGATTTACAGATAGTTTAGATTTGGGTTATAAGAGAAAGAATAATCAAGGACAACATGAAGGTTTTGAGTCACAGCAAGCGGAAAAGTGAATTTGTTACCAACTGAACTGGGGAAGGCTGCAGGTGCCAGGGGAGGAAACCAGGATTTCGACTGACACGTGTAACATCTGAGTTGCCTATCACGAAGCCCCGGGAGGAACTGTCAGTGGGCTCTCGGATGGACCAGCCTGGGTTCCCGGGAGAGGCCTGGAGGCAGCCATCACAGAGACGGGATTAAGGCATGAGCCGGGTGAGCCCACCAAGTGACTGAGCGGGGGCAGAGACAAGAGCAGGGCCCAGGAGGGAGCCCCAGTGGCCGAAAGCTTACGAGAAGGAGCCAGCAAGAGAGACAGAAGAGGGAGGAGAGAAAATGAAGAACATGAGAGCTTCCAGGTCTGCTGCCTCCCTGCTTCCCTCACAAAGAGGAACCACATAGAGCCCCTGCCCTCAGTACAAGGGTCTCAGACCAGTTCTGCCCAGAGAAGATCCAGGGGACAGATAGCACCAGGGTGCATGCTGAAGGACAGGGAGGATTTTAATAATCAAAAAAGAGGTTGGATATGATCCAGCAATCCCACCTCCTCAGCATATATCCAGAGAAAACCTAATTCGAAAAGATACATGCATCCCAACGTTCACTGCAGCACTATTTACAATAGCCAAGACATGGAAGCAACCAAAATGTCCATCGACAGAGGAGTGGATAAAGAAGATGTGGTACATGTATACAATAGACTATTACTCAGCCATGAAAATAATGAAATAATGCCATTTGCAGCAACATGGATGGACCTAGACATGATCATACCAAGTGAAGTAAATAGGACAGGGAAAGACAAATATTGTATGATATCACTTATATGTGGAATCTAAAATAAGTGATACAAATGAACTTATTTACAAAACAGAAACAGACTCACAGACTTAGAAAACAAACTTAAGGTTACCAAAGGGGAAAGGTGGGGGAAAAATAAATTAGGAGTTTGGGATTAGCATATACACACTACTATATATAAAATATATAATCAACAAGGACCTACTATATAGCACAGGAAACTTTACTCAACATTCTGTAATAACCTATATGGGAAAAGAATCTGAAAAAGAATAGATACATATATATATATGTATAACTGAACTGCCTTGCTGTACACCTGAAACTAACACAATGCTGTAAATCAACTATACTCCAATATAAAATAAAAATTAAATTAAAAACATTTTAAAACAAGAGGTTGGGTGTTCCAGGCAGAAGGAACAGAATGTGCAGAGGCCCAGAGGCAGTTAGATGCAAGCCCTTTGGGAGCAAAGAGTCCAGTTTGGCTGAGCTTTAGAGAATGGCAGGGATGGGGCAATTACAGGATAAATCAGAGCAGGGGTTTCCTCCTCTGGGCTGAGCTTAACTTTCTGACTGTCCAGAACCCAGCATGGATGGAACTGCTGGACCCTCTGGCTGCTGCATGAACCTTCTCTCTCTCTGTAACACAGAGCCTGGGGTGGGGGGGCACAGCCCCCCCACCCTGAGGTACCAACTCCCAAAACCTCCTGGCAATTTGCTACACCTGAGGATGACTCGAATGCAGAATACCCTTTGAGCCAAGAGGCCAAGAGTTAACTGGGGGTGGGGAGTCACAGTGACAGGAGGAAGAGATTTTTAAGAGCTTCTGGTGATAGAAATCATCCCCAGCCAGCCCCCTGGTACCAGTTTATATTTTCTCTCTCTACTTTAATTATATATCTGCCACTCACACATCCATGTTGCTGTTCCCTTGCCGGCTCTGCAGAGTTTAAATCAGAAGAGGTACCGAGAGGGGCCCTGGGCTGGGAGTCGGAGCTCTGATCTCCACTCCTGGCTCTGCCTTTAACTGAAGGGGAGACCTTGGGCAAGTCCCCTCCCCTCTTTGAACCTCAGTTTCCACATGTGCAGAGTGAGGGGACTGCACCAACCAGTCAGTAAGTGCCTTTAAAAGGCCGACGACAGCCTTTTAAACTCATGGCTTTTCTGATGATGTCCCCTGACATTCCCATCTTCAGCTCCTGTGTCTGTTGCAGCTGCAGTTCACCATACTCCCCCTGGAACTCTCATAACCGTATGTTCCAAGAGTAATTATCTTCCAATTTCACCTTCCAATTGCATCTTAATTTAACTTCCATTGCTGGGTGCCTGCTGGAATGTCCCAGCGAAGGCTGATGATTTCTAATTAGGCTGCTGTTAGGCTAGTCCAGTGATCCACGACAGAGCGGGAAGAGCATGGGTCCCCGGCTCAGACAGACCTGGACTCCAACCCCAGCTCTGCCACACACTGGCTGTGTCACAATAACTAAGAGGATGGTGGTTACGAGATTCAGTCCCATGGAGTCTATGAACCACTATGCTGCATGATCGGGAACTTCAGAGCCTGGCACACAGAAATCATTATATGAGGTCTAGGACTGCCCTCACATTGCAAAAGTAACCAGGTTTATGCTGGAGGCAAATGACTGGATGGCAGATTTCCTGGGACCAAACCTGCCTTTACGTGTATTCTGGCTCACTCCATCCCCCAGATTCTCAGAGAAGGGAGGGCTTGCCCAAGCCTCATGCAGGGAAACGTGGGAATACGGGATCGGCTCTCACCATTGTTTTAAGCGAGTTTTATTAGGAGTGTAGGAAAGAGCTAGCCTGGCTCTGTCCAGTCTGTGCCAGAGCAGGCAGCAGTCCACCTCCTTCCTACAAGGAGTGGCTTGCTGGGCGCTGAGACCCGGCCCCAGCCTTTTCCACTACTCAAAAGGGGAATCCCTGCTCCCGCTCCCACTCCCACCCCCTACCCTGTGACCAACACTCACTCACTGTCCAGGTGCGTACACGCCCAGCAAAACAGGGCCTGGACACAGGGAGGCGGCTACCACACTCCCAGGCCCCCAAGTCTCTCCTTTGTCAGATCAATCCAGCCAAACGTCTCCCATCTGCACCTCACTCCTAAGACAATGACTTTTTTCATCAAAAAGATTTTAAAAAGAAAAAGCCCACAACACACACACACACACACACACATCACACACACATCACACACACACACACACACTTTTTACACATACTCGGCAGCAGGATATGGTTCGAAGACAGCCAAAATGGTGGCTTCCTGTTTCTTCAGGGATGTGTGTTTTGGAGTATGGATTCGGACAAGGGTGTTGGTCGGAGAGGGAGCTGCCTTCTGCTAAATTCTAAGAGAAAAATATTAAAAGAGCAGTAACGCTCCTTGTCAGGCAAATGAAGTTAGCTGGGGCTGCTGCCTTGCAAACTCGCCTCTAGGAGGAAACTTTCTGCCCTCCCCGCGGAGGAGTCAGGAACCGGAGAACTGGGTTCCAGGCACCGCCCATCTCTGACTCTCAGTTAATAAACCTGTTAAATGGCACTCCTCTGGAGGGATCACTAACTACTGTCAAACGCGTTCTTGATTTCACGGAATCCCTGGCCTAGCAAAGGCAGATATGGAGGGCAGAGAAGCAAGGGCTTGGGAGGGAACGCCTGGAGTGCGGCTCAGCCTTGGCGTCCCCTAGGCGTTCGGTCCCCTGGGGGGAGCACAAAGAAGGCCCCGGGCCACGGCACTGCAGGACGTTGGGGTGCGCTGCGAGTGTGTGTGTGTGTGTGTGTGTGTGTGTGTGTGTGTGTGTGTGTGTGTGTGTGTGTGTGTGTGTGTGATTATCTAGGGCTTTTTAGTTCCTTCGGAGAGCGAGCTCCAAGTCTGGGCGTCTAGAAGAGAGAAAGGAGCAAGAATCCGCGAAGGACGCGCCTCGGAGTAGCGAGGAACCAGGAATAGACCCCGCAGTGGGGAAGACCTCAGACGGTTCCCGTGGGCCAGGAGGGGCCTCTGAGGGGCCAGCGAGGGCCTGGCGGGGACCCCGAGGAGCAGGAGTGAGGATTTAGGGTCGCGACCAAGTCGCCTTTGCGAAGGGAGCGTCATTCCCCGCTGAGAGGGTACCCTCAATACCGGGACCGCGGTGGGAGCGGGATACGGCCGTACGTGGCCAGGGTGCGGCCTCGCCGAGACCGAGGGTGCGTCCCCGAGGCTGGGCGTCTCGGACAGGGGCAGCGGCCCCCGATGTAGAATCTCGTCCTCCTCGGCGAGGGCACTCGTGACCCGCCCATACCTCGGCCGAGGCAGAGCAGAGTGGGAAGGTCGGGGGTTTCTCTGCAGCTCGCTCCCGGCGCCCCGCGGGCTACAACTTGGAGCGCCTGGCGGGGGCCCCTCGCGCGCGTCCCTCGGCGCCTGAGGTCGCGCGGAGCCTCCTACCTGCTCTGTTCATCTTCCAGCGCGCGGAGCCAGGGGCCGCCCGTCGGTGCGTCCGTCCTTCCGAGCACGAGTCCGCGCGCCGCCTCACTCCATGGCCGCCCCGCGGGGCCCGCACCCCGTGGCGCCTGCCCCGCCCCCGGCGCGCGCCGCACTTCGCGCAGCGCGCAGGGCAAGTGGGGGCTTGGGGGGTGCGAGCCTCCGGGGCTGGGCGGGGGCAGGGAGGGGAAGGGGCGCGAACGGAGGGCGCGCGGCGTCGCGTTCGCTCAGGACTCCGCGCGGCGCGCAGGGCCAGGGGGGCGCAGGGCGCGAGCCTCCGGGGGCGGGGCCGGGGGCAGCGGCCGGGACAGCGCGCGGTGTTGCGTCCGCTCCCGGCTCCCAGCTCCGCGCGCGCGCTGCGCTCTGGCCGCAGAGCCGCTGCCCGTTGCCGCCGCTGCCGCCGCTGCCCCTCCGCCCCCTCCTAGACGTTTCCTCCCGCTCCCGGAGAGGAAGCCTTGTTTTTTTTCCTCTCCCCTTTCTGCTCTGTCAGGGATCGAGGGAGCCGAGGGGCGAGGCGTCCCCGCACACATTTAAAGGGGCCATGGCCGTGGGGACTCGGGGAGCTGCGCGAGGTTCAAGGCACGAGGGTGAGAGGGGCGGGGTGAAGCTGGCGAGTTGGGCTTCTGGGGACTTCCTGGTCCCTTCGCCCAGCGGACCGTGTATCACTTTACTTTCAACCTCGGGCGTTCATTGAGTCCTGGGCCCAGCACCGTGCTGAGCGCAGAACAAGACAGCCCCAAATTCTTGCCCTAGTGGAGCTTAAATGGGATGTCAGTGGAGACACAAGACAAATAAGCAATAAACATCGTTTCAGAGAGTGATGGGTGCCTTGAGGGAGATAAACCAGGGTCGTGGGGCAGAGTAATTTTTAAAAATGCAAATTCTCAGGGCCCGCCCCAGACTTAACTGAATCAGAAATCCCGTGTTTAACAAATCCTTCAGGTCCTTCCGATGCAAGCTAGTTTGAGAAACTCTGGAGTAGAGAACAGGTGATCAAGGAAGGTCTCCCTGAGGAGGTGACATTGAAAGGGAGACCTGGTAGATGAGGAGCCTTTGTCCACTCAGCACTCACTAGCCGGCACCTCGCTGGGACCAGGCCTGGTGCTGGGTGACACAGATGACTCAAGCCTTCACCCCTGAACACCCGTTGGATTGGCCACGCAAACATAGGCAGTTCTGCTTCCCCGGACAAGTGCTGGGATGGGGACAGGAGCTTGTGGGAACACAAGAAGTGGCCGCTGAGTGGAGAGGGTTCCAGCAAAAAAAGAAAAAAAGAAAAAAAAAAAAAAAAAGGGCCTTTCAGGTGGAGGGAGTAGCTTAGGCAGAGACTTAGATGTGTGAAAAGGCATGGCCTGATGGAAGAGCCGTGAAGGGTTTGGCAAGGCAGGGAAATAGAGGGTGGCAACATCTGATAAGAGGCACAGAAGGTTGGGGTGAGGCGTGCTTTGAAAGCCATACCAAGGGCTTCCTTCCATCAGCCATTGAAAGCTGAGGGCAAGGGTCATGTCTCTCATCTATAACTGGCAGTCAATACTTGTAGAGCACCTACTTTGTGCCTGGCAAGGTGTTAAGCTCTGTACCTGCATATTTACTCGTTTAAGCCTCACCACAACTTTATGAAGCTGGTATCAAGATTCTTCCCATTTTACATTTGAGGAAACCAAGTAAACTAAGAGTTCACATGAGCTTTCCTGACTGTTCTTGCCCTGGCTGTCCCATGTCTGCATCTCCAGGACCCAGCTCAAGGTGTGGCTTGGTCATTTTGTAGTTTGGCTGTGAGCCCACTACGTGCCAGGGTGTAGGCTCGCAGCAACCCCAGCACTCTGTGGGAGGGTGTGGGGCTGGGGCATTTCAATTCATTTAGGCAATTCAGCCAATGTATCTACTATGTGGGAGTAGGTGTGTGGGGGGACATGGAACATATCCCCCTGCACCACCACCATCCCTTCCTGTCCCTCATTTGGGGACAAAAGGCCCAGAAATGGCCCCATGCCAGGGTGATGACTCCAGGGCAGGGGCTGTGTCTGTTCTGCTTACCCCTGCAGCCCTGGCATCTAATAAAGAACCCAGCACTTAGTAGGTCTTCAAAAAATATGTGTCGTCCACAAAGATAAAGGCCTGGGACAGAGGTTCAGACTATTGTTTGGGATCACTTTGGTTTTCTGGGACTGAAGGTGGCAGAGGCTAGAATTTTTGTGACTTTGACCAGCTGTGCTGGGAGCTTGTGAGGAGGCAGAATTCCAAATGGCCACGAGGCATTTCACAGCCTTGGCTGTCCTCCCTGAACCTAGATGCCTTCGGTCCAGAGTTTGGTCCAGGCAGTCCCAGACAACCATATGTTTTCATTGCACAGATGAAACACCTCTCTGAGCATCGTCTGTGGAGCCCAGCAACAGCAGCACTCAGAGGCTTCTTAAGAATGCAGAATCTCAGGCCCCACCCCAGCGCTACTAAACTAGAACCGGCATTTTAACAAGACCTCCAGGTGATCTGTTTATACATCTGGAGAAACACTGCCCTGGATAACTCACCCCATTACTTTTTGGCCAGATGTGCTGCCAAAGTCCACGGAAGTAGAGAAGAGACTTCCCCAGGTTCTCACTGGCGTGAGAACTTAATCCTCTGACTGCTGTCTCCTTATTAATACATTATTGGAAGGTGGGTAGGTTTCTGCATATCTGGGGGCCTGCACCCAGCAGAACTCCTGGTGCATATTAGGTGCTCACTAAAAATATAAAACTTGTATGAAGGTCTGATTTGAATTATTTCATGAGCCAGTTGGTGCCTGACACAGAGGATGTTCAATGCACACATACTGAAGACAGGAATCAATACATTTCAGTTAGATAATGTGGAAAGGCTCTGGGGAGGTGAAACTCTTGTTTCCCGTCATTATGAAAAATCTTACGTTTTCACACTCACCAAGCACTTCCATATACCTAACCAAGTTTGTAGGTTTTGTCCTGTTTTTATCTTTTAATGCCCACAGTATAGAATCATATTATGCGCATTTCAGGCAAGGGCCTAGGGTGTACCTCAGTTTCTCCAAATTCAGAAATGAATTTGATCCTTTCAAAGGACTTATTCGTCTCTGAACCGC